ACTCGTGCCTTGCCGCCTGCCCATACAAATCTCCGGATGTCTTTTTGTATTGCCTTAAAATAGGACAGGGGTAGGCGGAGCAGGAGGGTGTGGAACAGATACAACGGCCTCGGCAGGATGGACATTTTCATTGCTACTATGTGGTCTGTCCAAGTCAAGTAAAATGGTGTCCATTGTTTAAATAGTTGGGTACATGTGTTCCAAACTTTTCTGTAATTCGCTGCCATAACGTCTGCTTGTTTTTTTGTAATTGTTAACCCTAGGTACTTAATGGAGTCTTTTCTCCAATCAAACTCATAAGCAGGAGTAAGGGTGGCAATAAGGGAAGTTGGGAGACCAATAGGCATAGCCTGTGTTTTGGCTGCATTTACTGAGTAGTATGAGACCCACCTGTAGGCTTGTATTAAGTGTAGCAAGGTGGGGAGGGATTCCCTTGGGTTTGAAATATATAATAGAACATCATACGCAAAGGTGCTTATTTTGACCTGTTTATCTCCCAATCCTATGCCCTGCACTGTCTGGTTCTGCCTGATACGGTGCAGTAGGGGTTCTAACTCAAGGACATAGAGAAGTGGGGAAAGGGTGCCTGTCTCATTCCATTCGTCATTCGGAATGCGGGCGAGACCTGACTGAATCACTTGTGCTGAGGGTGAGGAATATAGGGCAAATACCTGTTTGACTACCTGAGGTAGAAAGCCATATCTGTCCAACACTTGTTTGAGGAAGGCCCTGTTGAGGCGGTCAAAGGCTTTCTCTGCGTCCAGAGCCAGAAGGAGCCCACCTCAGCCCGACCTCCCAAGCTCCCGCAGTATCAGTGTAAGTTTGCGAGTGTTGTCTAGTCCCTGTCGGCCCAACGCAAAGTCCGTCTGGTCATCATGTATTTGTTGCGGTATGATTGGGTTTAGTCTGTTGGCAATGATTTTAGCATAAATGTTCGCATCCGTATTGAGGAGGGAGATGGGTCTATAGTTTTTACATGCATCAGGGGCCTTGTCGGGTTTGGGGATGGTAACTATCGTCGCTAGGAGCATTTCGGGCGATAAGAGCCCAGATTAGGTAGCTGTCCAATTGACCTTCAAGAGTCGTGGAGCTAGAGTGGTGCTGAAGGTTTTATAGTATAGGTTGGAGAGGTTATCGTCACCCAGGGACTTCCCCGGAGGCAAGTGCTTGATAGTTTGTAAGATTTCTGAGATGGTTATAGGTTGTAAGAGGGAGTGGGTTTGTTCTTCTGTGAGTCTAGGCAGTGAGATGTCATTAAGATATTGCTCGATTTCTAACTGTGTGGGGTGTGTTATATTTGTGTCACTTTGAAAGTTGTATAGTTTAGAGTAGAAGTCCGCAAACACCCTACTAATCGCTTGGGGGTCGATGTGTTTCTTGCCCACCCGTGTCAAAGATGTGAGAGATCTTAGACTGTGCCATCTTAGCTCAGAGCCTAGCCGCCAAGCACTTCTTGGCTTTGCCTGAGGTATGGTAGGTAGTGGCCTTCAGCTTATGTAGTAAGTGGTTAGTTTTTTCCACCTGTAGGGTGGCTATGGTCTAATGTAGAGCGCTAATCTTGGCCATGAGTGCTCGTGTAGGTTGTGTTTTATTTTGTGTCGAGAGTGTTGCCAATTTTTTATAGGATTCTATCAGTCTGGCTCGGCTTTGTCGTTTGAGGAAAGAGGGCCTCCTAATAAAAAGCCCTCTGACCACTGCTTTGTGGGCATTCCACACCCCCATGTCCGTCACCTCGCCTGCCTCATGGTTCCGGAAGTAGTCTGTCAATGCCGACTGTACTGACTCCCGAAATGGACCGTCGGACAGCAGCAACTGATTGAGACGCGAATGTCCCCTAGCTTTAAATGGAAATTCGTTGTGTATGGCTGAACCGGGCCATGATCTGACCAAGTGATCTCACATATAGTACAGTCCGTTCTCTGGAACTGCAATGTTTAACATTGCAGCACTAACTGCAAAAGGGTCACAGCACCCAGACTACTTCAATTAGCTGAAGTGGTCTGGGTGCCTACAGTGTCCCTTTAAGGAGCTCACATTTACTCAATAATCATAGTGCCAGCCTTTCGAGTGTGTGAGTTGTCTAGCTGCAGAAGACACCATGGCAACAGGAATGACAGGTGGCCAACGCAACACCAGCAGCAGCTGGCTGAGATAGGGAAACTGAGTTATTAGCTCCTCTGTCATGGATCGAGGACCTGGGACTCTCTTCACCTGGTGACGCATTCAAATGCCAGAGTTGCCTATGGAGCTTAGGGTCTGCTCCTCCAGCAGGTGCAGACCAAGTGCATAGCTCCCTGGAGCAAATCAGAGCATTGCTCGGGGGTTACCTCAAAGCTCTGATTCATAACTGAGTGCTTGTCTGAGGGAGCAGTGAAAGTGATCTGAACCTCCTGAAAGTGAAGACCAGAAAGCAGCCCACTGGACCATCACTAGACCAACACTTTACCTCTCCATGAGCCAATGTAAGAAGGAAGGCTGAATTATTTTTTCTATTTACCCCCACTACAGCTACAATTCCCTTACAAACACTACAGCCCCTAACCCCCTCCCCCCTCCAATGCTAATGCCAGATCACTTCCTCCAAGCACTCACAGAAGCCGCTCCTGAGGAGAGGAGCCTGCCACCAGCAGCCTTGTGCAGGCTGAATCCCTGCTAGACCATGGGAAACCCATCTTCCAGTTGCAAAATGGTAATTGAAAAGGGAGGTGGCTAAATAAAACAATAGTTTTAGTGTATGTAAGCAATGTATGTAGCTGGGTGTGTGTTTAGCAATATATGTGTGTAGTAGTGTGTGTAGTAGTGTCAGTATAGTGTATTTGTGTTTGTTTGGGGTTAATAAGAATGGGAGGATGTAAATGGTGAGAAATACTGGATGAAGGGTGTGACCAGGAAGGCGTAAGGAATGGAGAGGACTAAGGCAGGGGTCGTTTTTATTTGACTTTGGGCATGATTTAATATTGTTGAACATTTTTAAAATGATTAAATATTATGAAAAATATTTAAATTTTATTAGATTTTTGTATTTTTTTGATATATTAAAATACCTTTTTATATTATGTATTATTTTGTTATTTTACTATTTTGAAAAAAATCTTTTGAAAGTTTAAATATTGAATCATTTGAAAAGCTAATCTAACAATATAAAATTGTGACCTTTGTGTCCAGGAGTTTGAGGGGACTTTTACTATGGAGTCCACTTTACCAAGTCTTTAATTGGAATACATCCAAGACGGGCATGCAGCTCATGCCTTCAGACAGACGATAACTATTTTGATATGGATACTTTAGAACACCTTTTTAAACCATATTACATGGGAAAAAAATGTTAATTGACACTACCAGTAATATAAACTGTGGCCCAGATATTTGAATACATTCTACAACTGGTGCATTATCCAGGTGAGCTTTTGCACTGGCCGAAAAACAGTCTTGTACTTTTCAATAATGTCACTATAATACTTTAATATAAAATCAAGAGGGTTTGGATAAAACCCAAAAGTAAATGAGATAAACTAAAGACAAAGAACATTTAGCTGTCCTTAAAAATAAATTTTTGTCATGTTCTTTTTTTATTGCAGCTGGGCTAAATGGTAAAACACTTTTAGTTAAAAAACCCACCAGGGAAACGTACGTACTTATAAACTCTTTTTAAGCACCCTGGTCATTTATTTAACTGCTGTTTGTAGATACTCACAATTACACGGCTAATTCTAAAAGTCAATAGAAATTCTTCTGTTAGTCTTGTTGGAAGCGATACCATTAAGTATAATGTATGGACCATTATTTAAAGTAGTCTGAATAAATGATTCAAATCTGCAAAAAATAAAATAAAAAAATACAAAACACAATAGTGTATGTTCTTTGAAAATTACTTTAATTCCTAAAGGGAGGAAATGCACGCTTTCACATGAATGCAAGTAAAACTATTGTTATTTTTTTTTAAATCAAAGGCATTTGTATGATGCACCATTCAAACTACTTCAGGGAATATTTACTAGAAACTCACCCATGAGATACAATAATGATATAAGTTTTTTTTTTTATAACAAGGAGAATTCCTTAAAATATATTCAAAGAGTTTGCTTTTGTAGCATGTGTATAAATGGGCACAAGTTGTCACCATGGGGAAAGTTTTTATAAAATACATACTAAACATTATGTTTTTAAATAACTTACGATTAGGATTCTGTATTACCTAATGTTTTAGATAACGTCCCAAAAGTAAACTGAGAATAAAAATGATATATTATTAGTCAAAAAAATTACTCTCGTGATCACATTAACTAGGGCCGGATTAACATAGGGGCTGATGGAGCTGCAGCTCCAGGCCCAGGCCCATTGAATAGGCCCATTTACACACTACTCTTAGGTCTGCCATCTGACTGGTATTTTACCAGCACAGCCGGTATTTGAGGCTGCCTGGCCATGCCAGTATTGCAGTAATACCGGCAATACAAATGCAGATATTTTTCTTAATATAAACAGAGATTATTCTGCAATACCAGCACCAGCCAGTAGGGGCCACTGTGTGTGGAGAGAGGCAGGGATAGGAAGTTACAGCATGTACCTCCCAGCCTCTGTCTATTCACTAACCTGCGGGGGAGCACAGAAAGTCTAGACAGCAGCTCCCAGCCTGCAGAGACAGCCTACAGCTCAGGGAAGTGAGGGATGAGGGGAAAGGCAGCAGGGAGACATGGGGACACTGAGACACTGGGGGACACATGGGGACACTGAGACACTAGGGGACACTGAGAGATGTGGGGACACTGAGACACTAGGGGGCACTGGGAGACCTGGGGACACTGTGAAACATGGGGACACTGAGACACTAGGGGACACTGTGAGACATGGGGACGCTGAGACACATGGGGATGCTGTGAGACATAGGGACATTGGGATACACATTGGGACGCGGAGACACTAGGGACACAGTGTCCCCATGTCTCCCAGCCAGTGTCCCTAGTGTCTCTGTGTCCCTATGGCTCCCAGAGTCTGTGTCCCTAGTGTCTCAGTGTCCCCATGTCTCCCAGTGTCCTTATGTCTCCCAGCCAGTGTCAGTGTCTGTGTCCCATGTCTCTGTGTCTCTAGTGTCCCCATGTCTCCCAGTGTCCCCAAATGTCTGTGTCCCCATGCCTCCCAGCCAGTGTCCCTAATGTCTCAGTATCCCCATGTCTCCCAGTGTCCCCTAGTCTCCCAGTGTCTGTGTTATTGTTAGGAGCAGGTTTGAAGGTAAATCTGGAGCAAGGAACTGAAGTCTCTTTTGTCTTTCTTCCTTTGTTAATGGCTCTCGTTTCCTGCTTTTCCTGGAAGGTAAGACAGTCTCAGTCTTTTTCTCATTTGATATGCAGGAGCTTGATTGCAGTAAGAAAGAAATAGTTTTGCATAGTTCCAAGAGACTTTCAGCAATGATTGTTAGAACGTTGGTTAACCCTGTAGTCTCCGGTTTAAGGCCTTTACATTGAAGTTGATGTTCTTATTGAAATACTTCATATCCTGGCTCCTGTGAACCTGCTTCAGACTTACCTTCAAACCTGCTCCTAACAATAACCTGCTCCACCCTTACCTATACTTCAAACCAGCCTGCCTCTGTAACCAGCCTTCCACTGTTACCAGCCTGCCTTTGTTACATGGAAATTACAAACATTCATTATTATTTGCAAGTAACCTGTTCTGTGGCAAGTATCCTGTTTGGTGGCATATTGCCTGAAGTCTGTTTTCATTCAAGTTTCATAATATGTCTAAAAACACTAATAAAGTACCTGAAGTCAACCCTGACATAAGTCTCCTATCTGACCTGCACAAGAACATGACAATATCTCCCAGCGTCTGTGTCCCCATGTCTCTGTGTCCCTATTTCTCCCAGTGTCCCCAAATGTCTGTGTCCCCATGTCTCCCAGTGTCCCAATATCTGTATCCACAAGTGTCCCCAAGTGTCTCAGGGTCCCCGGGTCTCTCAGTGTCCCCATGTCTCACTGTGACACAGGACACACTGAGACATGGGGACAATAGGAGAAATGGGGACACTGAGACACTGGGAGACTAGGGGACTAGGCGACATGGGGACATTGGCACTGTGATACATAGGGACACTGATGCCAGGCTGGCCTTCCAATTCTTTGGACAGACATGCCCCCTTTTTGCAGTTCTGGTCACGTGATTCGCATCAGTTGCCTACCCTTTTACCCCGCCTATTGACTTCCTACCTTACTGGACACTGCTGTTAGGGGGTATGGATTCACTTGAAAGATGAAAGCATATTAGAAAGAAATTAACATATAGTGTGTGTTTTCTCATAGCTGCACCCTATGAGTTTTGCCTCCAATACCATCTCCATCAGATACACCACGCTTGAGAGGTATGACTGTTTTAATGTTTTTGGTCAATAAGATTCTGTTATTAGGCCCCATCATAATTCTACAAAGCCTTGGGTTGTATGTTATTTCTCATTGTATTAAAATACAACTCAAGATCTCGATTGATAACCTATTTTTTCCTCCTCTCCTTCTCTAGGCCCGTACTTCTCCTGGCAAAGACAGACATTTCTCGGTTTTGTCTCCATTCGGGACACAGTATTTGGACGAGGGCAGGTTTTAAATAATTGTGCACTTTTTGAATTCTCTTTAGTTGAAATTAACTGTCAATGAATTGATCAATACCTTTCTAGCCCAAGTTACATAGTCACATAGTTACATAGCTGTAAAGAGACTTACGTCCATCAAGTTCAGCTTTAGAGAGTGTAGACTGTTGCATCTAGAAAGATAAAAAAAACCTGCATTCAGCAACCGCTCTACACACGTTGTTTAGACTATGTATACTCTGACACCTAAAATAAAACCAAGGAAGTATGTAAGTAATTTAATATCTTAACTTCCAAATATGTATAGATATATTTTCTGAAGACTTGTGTTCGTCAGGAAAGTTTTGCTCAGCCGAACCATTTTTCATCAAACAGAAATTTAGTTCAGGATGTCTGACTTACGTTCGTGTGATGGTTCGGTTCAGCCAAATATCGTCCAAGTGAAAATATTTGGGGAAACATTCAGACAAACCAAAAAGAGTGTGAAAAAGGGTCAAACAGTGTCCTGCAAAAATATATATGTAATATAACAGATTTTTGAAATGTAAGACACACTCATCAATGTATATTATATATATCTGACTTAAATAAACCAACGCACTCGCTCATGCACTAAACAGCAATTTCAAATCTCACATAATGTAATAATTTATTTTAAAAACACCTCACCTAGGCAAAAAATAATTGCGGTTTTGTTACAGTCAGTTTAGTTATAGTAAAGTCAATATACCCCATTCTTGGTAGGTCTTACTCTAGCATCCTGTCTGCTCTTATGAGATTAATCCACTTACTTAGGAAATTCTTCCTCCTGGGACTATCTGCAGGACAAGTTTAATAGGGCCCTTGAATGAGGCACTTGTGACTGGGAGGATGTCTCCAACTTGGCCTTCACGTACCACCATGCCAACCACTAGCCTGCCTTTGGTTCAGTGGGCATATCCGTTTTGTCCTACCATTTAACAGAGGTTAGGGGAGGTAACAGCCCCAACCTTCCTTCTTCCCCCTGTACTCTTGCTCCAACCCGGATTGGCAAGGATCTTACCCACCAGCTGCAACAATAAAGAAGAGTTAGCATCATAGAGCAAACATTAACAAGGAAGGGTGGGTGGGAAGCTGTTACCAAGCTGTTATTCTAAGATGGCTGAAGTAAGGAGGCAAAATGCCTGCCTATATATATAGTCCAGCCCCTTATCCCCTTCTTTTACCACTCCCCCCATATTACACCTACACTTCCACAACATGTACTATAATTACATCAAACTTCAGTTTATGCTTATAGTGGATGCAGAGTGTGTGTATTTTGTGAATGCAGTGTGTGTTTGTGTACGTAATGCAGTGTGTGTATGAATTTGTGAGGTGGGATAAGGGGCTGTATTCTGTGCGGGATGAGAGAGGAACTGTTTTTTTTGTATTATTATTATTATTTTTCGATACTTACTATATATTTACAGTATATAGGACACATTCAGCATATAGGTTTTTTTTTTGGGGGGGGGGTAAAAAACTGCATGCTATATTCTAAAACATATGGTAAATATTATATATATATATATTTTTTCAGTACACTTCAGTGCCCTCTTCAGTGCCCTCAATCCCTCTGTTCCTGTGTGTCCAACCCGTCTGGTTACAACTACATGTCTATTAGTCCACCCATTGTACAGCGCTACGGAACTTGAAGCAAAATAAATAATAATAATATTAAATATAAACGTTGCTTTTACTGCTCCGTATTTTCTTCATTCTGGTTACTTCTCACTTGATCTGAGAATAAAATCAACAGTTAGTGGCTGTCCCCTAGCCGTCAATCACCTTCTCTCCAACCAGTCATCATTTTTGATCCTCTGAATACTAAATCATATGAACAAATTCAGCCATCATGCTCGTTGCGTGTTCAGTTACATGTTTATACGATGCTTTGGAGACAGAGAACTAGTCCATAAAGCATCACTTACCTTCACTTATACTTCAGAAATGATAACCAACTTATCTCTTTGTCCAAATCCATTCCACTCATTCAATGTTTGCTAATTGGATATAAATAACAACCTTCCTTCCAAACAGAAAAGGAAGCTCTAATGAAAATACCATATCTACAGGAAGGTACGTGGTAAGAGTGAATGACATCCCTTATATTCATCTTTGACTTACAAAGATTAAGGCATTACAAAGATTGTACAACCCTGCGAAATATGTTGGTGCCATATAAATACATAAAAATCTAGACACATACAGTTATAATCAAAATTATTCAACCCCAATTGACAATCAGGTTTATTGTAAAAAAAATTATAATTATAATTATTGTATTTTTTGTTGAATTTTGGGAAACCACTTGAAGCATGTTCATTGCAAATAGATGAAAGCATCTGGATTTTTACAATAAACCTGATTCCATACTTACAGTTGACTACAACTGTAAGTATGGAATTGGATAGAGGCTTCATTTGTAGCATATTTAAAATATTAAATGGTTTAGAAAAGTTAAAAAAGAAGATATTGGAAATAATAAAATGATACTAGGGAGACCTGGGATTTTAAGTAAATAGATCCAAAATAAAATAACTTATTTTGGCAAGACCAAAGATTTTAGAAAATAAAAATTAAAATATTAGAAGCCTATTTACAAAGTATGTATTAAAGCATAAAGAAACGATGTAGAATTGTCCATTGCGTAGCTATGTGAAAAGCAAGGTTAATTTTAGAAGTCGTAGCATGGGAGAATGTTTTTTTCGCTTTTAAATTACTTTGTTTATTGAATATCTCCATACAAATGATATTGTGCCGGTAAAACCAAGAGACAAGTAAAGAAAGGATTTATTTAGCTATGAAAATTAAAAAAATACTAAAAATGCTATTAAAGGGAAAGCATGACAACCCAATTTTAGGTTTCGAACCCGAAGTCAGGGGTAAGCAAACCAGATTTTACAGTCTACATATCCGGTAAAGCTCTTATAGTCATAATGCTGGCAAAGCATTCAATAAGATGCCAAATGTTGTCTATCACTACCCTAAGTAAAGACTGGATCCACCCTAAGACTATAATGAGGTAATGAATTAATTTGATGGGAGAAATTAACCACTCTTAACTTAAATATTAAACTGTTTCCTCCTACCTCTCGTGGGCACAGACTAAAATTCACTTTCCTTCTGCTCCAAAACTGAACTTCTTCCAATAGAGAAACAATTGTGTTCCGTGTTTCAGTCAGTATCTTTGCAAAATAAAATTACAAAAAAAATTTATTTTTTTTCTAGAATTGCGGGTTTTAATGTAACGATGTAACGATCCTTTATGATCACATAATAGTGTGTTGCAAGCTGGTTAGAGTGGTCTGGTGCATAACGCACCAACCAGTTTTTGTTCGGACCAATACAGAATTACCAATAAGCTGGGTGGTAATAACATCAATTAAACAGCTGCCAATTCAACTATAATCCAAAAATTTAGTGCCCTTGGGGGAAAAAATAACTGCAAATAGATTATACATTTGTTTTGTGGCTCTTTACCAATATTTTAACAAATAGGTAACAAAGCACACTTGCACTTTTATTTAAATCCCCCCCCAATATTAATTCATTGGCAACGGTAGTGGGAGCTTATATGTTTGGTATGTTTAATATCAAAACTCCAACACCCAGACATAACCAAGATATA